GTTTATTCTGAAGAAAAAAAAGACAGCACATCATCTGAAGGTAATGAAAGAAAGAGCAGGAGATCGCTGAAGAGGCCTGGTCATGATGAGATGTGCAGCTGATATAAAGAGACTAACAGCAACTAATGAAAATAATTTAAAATGAAAAGTTGCTATTCATTTCTTCTGAACGCCTCAAAAAATAGCTAAATTGATTTCAAAACAACCTGGTGCTTTTTGGAAATAGTGTTGACAAGAATACGCTAGCCATATTCAAATATAATTCACTTTTAGACTTTAGTATTTAGCCTAAAGCTTTTAGGCTGAAAATGCACCCAATCAAATCTGTTTTCTAAATGCAAGTTTTCTCAATTATTAAAAAATGTCTTGACTGTATAGTTTAATCCTTTTTTTTTTTAATTCAACAGTCTTTCCTCTAATGATGTATGCGGGGCTTCATTGATTTTATCATTATTATCATTTGTATTTGTATGATTTATTTAATATTAAAATTAATAACAATAATGGGTAAAACGCTTTAACCGAATACAGATACTGGTGGTGAATAGATGGATTCATTTAAAAATCCCCACTCTTGGGTTCTGTTTTCAATAAAAGATAAGATTCAAACGATGGGAAGTCATTCACAATTATTACATCCACACATCACTCAACAAGCATTAGTTCTATATAACCGCTTCACTGTCTTCAATTAATATGCAACATTCAAACATGCAATTATTCTCCTTCTTTTGCATGCAATTACCTGCAAGCTCATTTTATTGTTTGCGTGCAGCCGTCGCAGTCGGGTTGGCACAGCACATAAGGTTAATAAGATTAAAATGCGCCGTTAGCTTGTAATGGTTGAGATCGCCTCTTAACACCTTAGAGCATGTGCTATTAGCTCTGTTTAATGTGTATTACCTTGCGCGTGCAATTAGTGTGTACTGTAAAGCAGGCACGGTTAACCTTACAGTAGCACTCAACACTGATTACTTACTTGAATTGAGATTATAATCATTTAATTTTAAAGCACTACCACCACAAAATCAGACTTTAGCAGCTCTTTTAACTTTGAGATCATTCTGAGGTTAAATACAGATTTAAAATCGGAACAAGAAACCGTTTAACAGCTATGATACTGTTTTTGAAATCAAATCTTTGACCGCAAACACCGGCATCTAAAAAAAAGTTAATCTTAAAAAATAAAGCATATACATAAACCCAAATAGGAAATAAAACAGTTAAGCATGTGTCTTATAAGCTCCTGAAACATTGGTGTCTCACATTTTAAAGCAGTCAATGAAATTTGGGAAAGAAGTTAATCAAATCTATATGTGTGTGAAAATATTCAAATGTAACCCCCTTTGTGTTATCGTTAACATTTTCTCAGTAACTGTAACAGATTACAGTTACATTTATTTTGTAATTCCATTACATGTAACTAGTTACTCCACAACACTTGTCAAAAACCTAGCAACACTTCTGATCCATATTAAAAGGTCCAAACAAAGCAATATAAAACCTGGTGTGTTTCTGTTAGCAGTGACTATGGAGTCAGACATGAGGAAACCATGTGTGATCATTATCAAGCTCTAATATTCCCAAACATGGCATTCGATAAACGCAGCAATATATGTAGATGTTACTACAAGAATAATTCATTTAATCAGAAAATGGTCCATCTAATTAATGGAAACGTCATATTAATTTCTACCGTGCATTAGCTCCTTTCAGAGCTACAGTAAGAGAGGCCGCCAGAGGAACAGAGCAGCAGAGGAGAGCGCGAAAAATCATTTGATTTATGAGAGAAGCACTTAAGACACAGAAGAGAAGATGTTATGCACCGTGGCTTCCAGCCTAGCAGCTAAAGTCATTTCCTCAACGGCAGGTACACGCTCAAGCGAACAAAGCTACAATCAAATTGCTTCACTGCACAGCCTAAAAACTCGTTTAATGTCATACTTATGCCTATTCTTCGGCTTTAGCGTGACACCCAAATACTTTAGTCAGTAGATATTGAAGCAGGTGTCTGTCATCTGCTCATATCCGTGCCGTCTGTAATATAACCCCCGTCTGCAGCACGCTCATCCGAGGAAACCCGGCTGCTCCTGCGAGACTTCCATGATGTATGTTGTGACATTCCTTCAGTCAATCAGGGATCGAAAGCTGAATATGAGCGATGAATCAGCTGCCATCAAAACATCCTTAAACACCCACATGAGTAATAAATACTCTCATCTGCTGATGACTCAGGTTCTGGGAGTTCTGTTGAAGTCTAATTCAAACCTAGTTTCAAGAGCTTTTCAACCACTGCATAGTATTAATTCTTCATTAGAGCTAAACGCATTATGAAGTAGAGTTTGCTGCCCTTTTAAAGTTTGCGTTCACATTATTGAAGATGAGACATTGATTTAAAAGAGGGTTTTATGTGACTTTTAAGGTCAGAATTGTAGATAAATGTGCATGCCGTGGAGCTGGTGATTGTTTAAGTTAAGTGAAGTGACGTGGCCAAGTATGTTGACCCATACTTGGAATTAGTGCTCTGCATTTAACCCATCCAAAGTGCACACACACACAGCAGTGAACACACACCGTGAACACACACCCGGAGCAGTGGGCAGCCATTTATGCTGCAGCGCCCGGGGAGCAGTTGGGGGTTCGGTGCCTTGCTCAAGGGCACCTCAGTCGTGGTATTGAAGGTGGGAGAGAGCGCTGTACATTCACTCCCCCCACCTACAATCCCTGCCGGTACGAGACTCGAACCCGCAACCTTTGGGTTACGAGTCCGACTCTCTAACCATTAGGCCACCACGACTTCCCTGGAAGAGTGGCAGGGTTTGATGAAAGTCAAACAGGACAAGAGTGTTACTGAAACCAGAGGCCGCTTCGTAATACCTCAAAGAAATACAAATTGTAGTTTTTGTTGTCGCTGCAATCCATGTTGGATGTGGGGATATTCATACTTGATCATAACTCCAGTTTCCAACCATAAAGGCTTTCCAATGCCTGAAATGATGTTATGCAGTGCTAGGTGTGTAATTATAAAGATCATTTACACACCTGTCTCTTCAAACGCTTCGCTGAACAGGATTACTCATTATGAAATGTTGGATATTTGAGTCACTTAAGCGGGGGTTTTTTTTTTGCTTAAAAAGTGACTCTTCATCATTAAGTGTGTACATTAACTTTGTACATGTTTGCAAAATGGAGTTTTAAAGGGGTATTTTAGCATTTCTTGTGCTAATCATACTACAAAATGACTTGGGGGTACAGATGACTGATTTAACATATTACCTTGAATCCCACCCATAATTTCATGAAAAAATCCTCATATGTTAAGCAACAAAGATCAGATAGGAAATATGCATTTAACTGTGATGGAGTTGTGCAAAAATAAAACATAAATAAAATAAAGTTTTTTGGAAACCGTTTTCTTCTCCAGTTTTATGGTTTAATTTGGCACATGGCACAATCAGCATGTATACATCTGGTATACATAAATAAATATTAAATATATTTATACATAAATATACATATAGAGCTATTAAAAAGACACTTGTTGTGGTCTCAGATTATGGTGTAGAGGATAAAACTAGTACAGACACTAACTGCTCTGCCCTCTGTATATTGGTGCTTTCAGCCTAATAATTGATAATAATAGTCATTTACACTTTCAGGTCAATGGCTACTGAGCAAAATCTTCATAAAAGCCCTATACATATATGTATGTATGCCCATATTTATATATATATTTAAAGAAACACAGGTCTACACTGAAGTCAGGTTATTCAGTGTAAAGAGGCCACTGTCTCCAGTCGAGAGGAACGCTTACAAAGTCAATGGAATCATGTCAGTTAGTTCAGTTCAATCTTAAGCTATTGTTTTCTTTTGCTTGTAAAATAATAGATTTATTTTGTAATTCTTAAGCAAAATTAGACATATGTAACTTTTTTAAAATAACAAAAAGTTCTATTTCGCAAAGACAGACGACAATAGACGCAGCTGAAACACTACTTGTGGTGAACAAAATCAATGCAGTGGTAAAGAGTG